AATAATACTATTCGCACAGCTAGATAATTTCTCACTCTCTTTCCCCCAACTGGCCCACGAAAAAAACTCGACGGTAAAAAAGGACACAAACCACGTTCAGGTTCAGCACAACACTCCAGTTGCAGGAAATGACAATCCCACGTAGTAGCAGGCTGCAGGCCGAGCAAAGACTTCTTGCTCAAGTCAAGCATGGTACTGTAATATACCTTCCGCTACAAGTACTTAGGAGTGCTGGCCGCCGTGTATCTTGGAAACGCACACGAAGCCCCCCCCCCCCTCCCCCCCCAATAAAACATACTGCGCACCCCCGCGGGTGCGGGTACAGACGGATCCTTAACGCTGTGTGTTCGAAGCACAAGCCAAAAGTCGTACCAGTAGACGGTACCTGTATACAATCGCGCTCCCATCGCCGCAACACACACCCCGGACGGCTCTTGAGCTTCTTTCCTTCCTTCCGCAAGAGTTTCTCCGGGTACTGTATGAAACAAATCCATCAACCAATCAATCCATCAATCAAATCCCTCTCTCTTGCAACCTTGCCATCACCATTACCGCCGCTCTTCTCTCTGGCGCCAAAAATATAGGTAACAAGAACCAAGATATGGGGCTATACGCAAGACTAACCTTCCCTGCCTTACGCCCCCCCGGCAATCCCAAGAACATGAAAAAACAGCTAGTAGCAGCATCAACACCCTCACGGTATCTACCCGAATGTCTCCCAAGGACGCACACGCTGCGCGCGCACGCACACGGGAAGCATACAGGACTACAAGGGTAGGGACAAAACGTTGATGGTAACGGCAGCCACAAAAAAGAAAAAGATGAAATCAATCCTTCAGGGGGGTTCCCTCCCACACAAAACAACGCAACTACCGCACATAATCCTTGCTCTCTCGCGGCTTCGAATGAAGGCTACTCAAGGCGATCATCTAGAGTACTATTTTACTCTCGTACTTTTTTCTGGTACGGTGACAAGACAAGACACTAGAAACGTTACTTGACACCCGGGCTACCCCCGTAAAAACCGAGCTTGTTTTTGGCGTCTTTCGTGTGTCGTGTACGAAAAGATAAAACTGGAATGCGCTCGGTGTGTGAACATGTAACTCTGGGCCAATTCTCTCCTGAGCTCCCCCCCATCTGAGCAAATAATTACCGAAAGACGCGTGCCCCCCCCCCCCCCCCCATCCCCTAACACTGCCTTCGGAAGCCGAGCCCTGTACGTGAAAAACACAACGTAGGTAGAAACCATAGGCGGTCATAACCCAGCTATTCGGCGCGAAAAGAAAATCAAATCAATCTTCCCACAGACCATCATCATCCGTATCTCCGAGATCTCCGTTGATTGTAAAAAAACGTGAACCAATCGCCGGCGAGATGTTACCTAGCACATTTAGTACCTAGTACGTGCTATCCTATTCGGGCCGAGCTTGTGGAGCGGCGGCCTGGCCCGTCTGTGGCACACTACCGGAGGTAGAGTCGGTCTGCTCGTCATCACGACATTTATCACCCAACAGAGTACGTAAGGGCCACAAATCGTGGCAGGAGCAGCAGCAGCAGCAGCAGCAGCAGCAGCAGCAGCAGCAGCAGCAGCAGCAGCAGCAGCAGCCACATTGCCAGTATTGCCCGAGCAAAACAAAGCACCACGGGAAACAAAGGCACGGGATGGGGGGATGGCGGGATGGCGGGACAGGATGAAATGAGACGAGAGTGGGTGAGACCGACGGCTTTCTTCTCTTCAGCGGTATGCGGGGAGACTACAATACACATGACATATCTACACGCATGCATACAACACATACGAGCCCCGCCAAGAACTAGCAAACTGGAGCAAGCGCCACAAGAAAACCACCACACACGCTGTTGTGTACTGCTGCAACACAACGTAAAACACAAACAACTTCCAGGCTAGTGTTGGGACCTGTGAATCCCTCTGCACCAGGTCGCAACAGAGGCGAAATAGGAACAATTCCTGTTCCGTTGAAGTGGGCCAAGTACAAAGGTGTCCCTAACTTCAATCAACTTTTACGCTCCAACATTGGGCACGACTGCCCAAAAAGAGGGGATGACCGCCCTTGTAAAGCGGGGGGGACATAAATACAGTGTCCATACTTCCGGCGTCCTCAAAGCGTGGACAACTGATGTCCTTAAAAGCGGAGATGATGACCGCCGTTATATAAAGCGGGGACATACATCGAGGAGTGCCCCTCATTGTTGTGTCCTTAAACCGAGGACGAATGTCCTTACAGCGGGAGGACTGCGCTTAAATAAAGCTGGGAGGACTGCCCTTAAAACCCGGGGGGTGTCCATAAATTTGGGTGCCTTTCAAGCGGGGACAACTGTCCTTAATTCGGGGACGATTTACAACGTACCTCCGATGAGAGCGCTCCGCCGCGGTTGCCGTCGGACGCGCTAGCACTCTTGCCATCGGAGGCGCTGGCGCTCTCGGAGGTGTCGGATCCAATGTCCAGGATGTCGCGAAGGTTCCCGGAGCGATCGACCTTCAACATCAGCTCCGCTAGGCTGCCTCGCCACCTGGTGGGATGTTGTTCAGGAGAGAAAAAAAAACGAGAGCGGGTTGTGGCTTAGGAAAAAATAAAAAAAAAACGAGACCAAACAAGAAGCCAGCAACACGACCGGGTGGGGGGACCATCAGGACCAGCGTTCATCATCATCATCATCATCTCAGGTCTGGTGTGTGCGAATACCCGGACCCGGTGGGCATGATAGCTTGTATGGTTTGTCAACAACAACAACAACAACAACAACAACAACAACAACAACAACAACAACAACAACACCACCACCACCACCACCACCACCAACAGCAACAGCAACAGCAACAGCAACAGCAACAGCAACAGCAACAGCAACAGCAACAGCAACAGCAACAGCAACAGCAACAGCAACAACAACACACTGGTGGCTGCTCGGCAACGACCAAATACTTGAAGACCTACCTAGTCTTGGTGTCATCATCAGCATCTTCGGCGCTCGCCGCAGCATTCAACTCCTCCAGCCTCTGGGCCTCATTGTCGTCCAGCTGAACAAGCGTCAACATCAACATCAACAACGATGACCACGATGGCGAAGAAGCAGGTACGGTAGGTCGTACGCAAAAGTGTCGTCAGCGCGGAACAAAAAAATGGACAGGGCAACACACGCGCCCGAAAAAGGCGACAAGTATCATACATGCGGCAGAGCTAAACCGCTCTCGAAAAACGAGCGTCGGGAGACGTGTGCGCATACCGGCTGCGCGAGGTACACAAATGCGGCAAAAGCGAAGACAATACACCAATTGCCGCCGCATCAAAAGTCACGGGTAAAACAAACACACACGGGGGGCGGTTATCGAAGCGGGAAAAGCGTGTTGGGTGGCGAGAAATCACATGCCCGGGGGCGCACAACTCTCCCCGCGAGAACAACGTCCCACACGCTCTGGGCGTGTCCAGCTGCTCCTATGCCACTCTAGAATGTGTGCTCGAGGGTCACTCTAGACAGATTAGGTTGGCTAGGTTTCGGCAACGTCGACGCTTCGCACTTGCCCAGGTAGTCGTAGGTCACTCTAGACAAACCGGGTTGGCTAGGTTTCAATTCAACCACGTCCACGCCTTTTGCGCGTGCCCAGCTACCTAGCCGCTCGTACGTCGCTCTAGAAGCAGGTTGTTGGTTTACGTAGGTTTAGGTTTCACGGGAGGCAAGCAGAGCCAGGTCTCACCAGGCGGAAGGTCTCCTTCAGGTTCCCCGGGCCATCGTCGGCGCGCGCGAGGAGGTCCGCCAGCGACTCCACCTTCTCGCCGGTCGACGACCCTCCGCCGGACATGCTGGATCTCCCGGCGCCGCCCCTGATCACCCTAGGAAGGGAAGCCGCCGCTCCGGGGGGGAGGGGGAGCTCCTCGCCGGCTACGGCTGCCGCGACGCCCTCGGGACCCTTGAGTGGCGAGAGGAACCGAGGGTAAACGGAAGGGTTAGACGAAAGACGGGGTGGGGGACGCGGGGGGGGAATGGTGGATGGCGTACACGATTGAGGCACGGCGTGGCCGGCAGAGAAAAACAATAAAAAAAATCTTTACACCAGCATATAACGGGAATGAAGCACACACACAATCACGGCGTCCCGGCTCATCCCCACAAAAAAGAACCAGTTCCGCTACTAAGGCTGACGTCTTTCTCAATGGTAAGCCAACGAGCGGTATTGATGCCAACAAAAACAACACACAGCCTTCGTTCGGGAGCGCAGTCCGTTAATACTGTAGCCGCATTCGAGACCGACTCCTCTTCATTGGCCAGCCGGATATACCGCGACGGTCCATGTCAAAAACAAATACACGCACGTTTCATTTCTCAATGGTCAGCCGGTCAAAATAGCGCGGTCAACGCGCAAAACCTACAGCAGAACACCCACCTGGCGGTACAGCAATCCCTTCTCGTGTTCCCGGCCCACCGTCTCTTCGGCGCGAGCGAGGCGCTCGGCGAGACTGCTAAGGTTGCCCCCGCCGGGGGGAGGGTTGGTCCCCGCCGCCGCCGCCGCCGCCGCCGCCGCCCCTGATGCCACCGAGTCGCTCGTGCTGGCGCTGGTGCTGGTGCCGACGCCGGCGCCCGCGCCGCCCGCCAGGAAGCGGTTGCGGGCGGCTTGGGATTGCGCGGGGTTTTCCTCGAAGCTGCTGCCGGTGGCGACGAAAGAGCTCGTGCGGCTGACGTCGGTGGTTTGAGCGTCCGAGGACATGTCGTCCTCCGTGAGGTTGTTGTTGGACATCATGTCCTCGGTGATTGAAGTCGACCTGTTGGGCGGGGGTGGGGGGGGGGACAGAGAGTCAAGTTGTGACGCGGCCGGTCGCGAGATTTACTCAACACTCAGGGACTCGAAAACGCCACCAACGCAAGTTGACAAAGGAGCTTTCGTGAACACTAGCCCAAACAAACAAACGCAAGTGATGCAGCAGCTACTCTGGCCGGCATTTGGCATACGCGCGATGCGGGGTGCTCCTGCTAGCCCAACGATCGTTGGGTGGTGCCTACGCACTGACTCCATGGTTCATGTACAAGGCGGTGGGTTGCGTTTGCTGGAGGATGTTTTGCTGTATGGCTCCATGCTCTGTACATGTCCGCACCGATCCTTTTGACTGCGATAGTTGGCTCGATGTGTGTGCCACTCATTTCGTTGTTCGCATGTGCTCAATCGCGACATACACGTGTTTTTCCTGCTCAACCCAGCCTTGGCTGGCGGAGGAACCCAGAAGACCGAATCCAAGCAAAAACGCAATGCATGATTGCGAAACGTTTCAAATCAGAAGAAAAAAAAAAGACCAACACAAAAAAAAAAACTGCGAACATTCTTGTTGGCTTCACATTAAAAACCGTCCCCATCTCTCCAAAAGTACCTCCATTTGTTCGTACTATTCCAAGACTTGCCCCGGTCGATTTCCGTGGTCACGGGCTAACTTACCCAAAAAAGGTATACCAAAATAAAATGAACACGAAGGTTCACCTTGAAAAAAAAAAAAACACACACACACAAGACCCCCAAAAAAACGCCATGCCCACACACACATTCCAAACGAAAATCACCAAGTCATCAAGTTACACGACACCAACATCCACACCTGGAAGAAATGTATGAACCCGAGGCGCTGTTCCTCTGCAGGAGGCCGCGGCCGCGAGGGGCACCGGGCCCGCCGCGTGCGGCCCCGACGCCCGGCCGGAGCAGGGCCGGGGGCGTGGCAACGATGGGGGAGGCCAGGCAAGCTTCCACCTCTTCCAGAGTCATCCCTCCCTCCTAATGGGGGGGCGGAAAATCGGCATTGAGCACAAGACAAGGGGGAAGAAAAAATCAGTGCCACGCCAAACAGAAGGCCTTCAAATAGTTCATCGCTTCGTTTCCAGCGCATCCCGTCGTGCGTGTACCGCACAGCAGCACCAGCGAGCGCGATGAAAATCGTCGCGAGGCTGGCTGGGCAGTGGATTCGACAATCTTTACACATATTTATCCGATCCAACAAGCAACTCTCTCGTGAACGTCACTCCAATATTCCCTCCAACCAAAACACTTGACTCAATCTGAGAAAGTACCCATAATCTCACAGAAAGACTATTGTACCGGTTCGAGACAATACCACAGTCGAAGGGGATGTGTTTCTCAAGTCTTCACAACAACAGCGAGTTTGAAGACTCATTTGCACATATACCACAACGGTCAACCGGCACACATGAACGAACGAACGAACGAACGAACCCTTGTGCGCACCTCTGCGTTGTAAAGGAGACGGGCCATGTCTAGCGAGGGGGACTGAGACCCCGCCACTGACTGCTGCAGCAGGGCGAGCGCCGCCGCCTG